CTGCTGCCCTGAGCCCGCCCAGCACGTTTGCAATCGCCTCTTGACCCTACACCAGCGTCCTCCTGAACTCAGCCCAGTGTGGCTTGCTGTTTTTCACACGTCGAGTTGCTGGTCCTGGGACTCTGAACATTTCTATTTATATACACAGAACTAAAAAGTAAAAGAAAACAAACCAGACACAATGAGATTTTGCTTGAATTCTGGTATGCCAAAGGCAGGGAGAGGCTCGTGTCGGCAGAGCATGCGTTCAGCTCTCCCCTGTCGACAGCACGCTGCACCACCCAGCTTTAAAGGCTTCTGCTTTGATGAATTTATGGACCAGCTCACAGAAAACCGTTCTGGAAGACAAGAAAAGGTGACGCTGCCTTGCTCCTGGGCCAGCAGCGACTGGAAATGCGCTGGACAGGACACTAAGCCCATGGCAGAAGGAAAAGGTGAAGCATTTAATATCATTCTAACTACAGCAGCTGAAATGCGTGCCACTGCTCTCACGAGGCGTGCAAGGGCAGGAGGTGGACGGACCTGCAATGCCAAACCTTTGCCAGAGCACTGAAGGTAGCAGGCGGAGTCCCTTAAGGCTTCTTGAAGCACTAACTACTGTATGTTAACTACATATGCAGGCAAGGATATTTTCTCTAAACAACAGACCACTGGCGAGGCCAAACACTGACACAATTAGCATTAGCTGAGTGATGGTAGGGGGGAAAAAAAAAAAAGTCTCTACACAAAGTAACTTTGCACCTAAGCACAATCTGAGTAAGCAATGTGTATAGATGTATCCTCCCCCCGTACCTTCTGGGGTGCCTTTTAAAAAACAGATGGAGATCTTTGCAAGTATCCCCAAACAAGCTGTTCTCATTTCCCGTCTCCCAGAAAAAAAAAAGCTGCAGCGCTTGGTTACCTCTGAAGAACTAGAGAGCAGGGGGTTTAGTATCATCAATGCCACCAGAGATGTGACCGCGGTCATCACATCCCTCCTGCTTCAGTGTCACTGCATCAGTAACACGTTATACGAGGCATCCCGAGTACCGGATTTTCTCACAGAGAACTAGACAGCAAAGCAACCACGCAACAGCTGCCTCCCTCACCTTGGGTTTGTCTGTACAGTTAATCACAGCTGCATTTATACCAAATATATATCTGCCTCTCACCATCCCTAAGCAACTGTGCCGACTGCTTAGGGCTCAGTTTGCTAAATCAGTCCCTGAACATCTTAAGAGGACCTCGGGCAGGGCAAGGCAGAGGAGGGAGAGTCCTTGCCCAGCTCCACGCAGGACTGACTCCATCTGTGTATGTCCCCATCCCGCCGTGGACCACTCCACGCAGACAGGCGCCCAGGGCAGAGCCGGCAGCCGCAGAGAAAGGCCGGGCACTGCACCCACACCGCGGGTCCCCACCGGGTGCTTTTGAGATGGAAAGAGCTGAATTTTCTTTCCAACTCCAATTACTCACCTGTTTCTAGGATGAGAATTTCAGGGGAGGGAAGAGCAGCTTGGTTTTGCTTTTTTAAAGCAAGTCTGTTCTATTGGTTAACCCAACCCCTCTCCTGCTACAGACATACACGCATTTCGTAATCACCTCCCCGACAGCAAGAGCCCCAAAACATCTGCTAGAAAATCAGGGCAGAATAATGAAAAGAGCCTGAAGTAGGGCAATTCCCATTCATATGCCCATTTCACTCTTCCCCTGGTCTGTCCCACAACAGGCACCAATACACACACCAGAGACAGTGGTGAGACAGACGGAGCGACAGGCGGCACAAAGACAGTAGCCACAACATACAGTAGGACCCATCACAGCCCGACTTCCACAGCCTCCCCCGTCACGCTCTTCACCTACACCCACCACAGCACATCTCACACGACACTAGAGCACAGCACATCACTCAGCTAGAAAACAGCATTATTATGTTATGTGAATTTGCTCCTTTTGTCAGCTCATGATCAATTTTCCACCCTCCCCCACAAGAATTCTCTCTCGCAACTGGGGTTTTTGATCACACCTTCATTTTTTACCCCACTAGTTGCTTTTGCCGCCTCCTCCACAGAACAGGTACCTCCCCTGCCCACTGAAACATCTCGTCCCACCTTCTGCTGTACTATAAAGCAAGCGAGCCTCCTTACTGAACCCCTGCAGGCACGGTTGGCTACATCCTCACCTTTTTCCTGCTCTAATTAGAAATATTATGTGAAATACATCCAGAAACACAGTAGTGAAGTGTGTCAGCTTAACTCGGAGATTTTGCAGCAAGTTCTCGTGTGATTCTGGCTCATAGGCGATGGGGCCGAAGGTGCTCTATCCTGTTAAAAACCCAGCTTGGCATTTCCTCTTGAGCCCTAAAGAGAGGGTTACTTGAGAAATACCCACTCTCATCCCCTCCCCACCTCTCGGGGCTGGCGCTGGCTTTCTGCGACACTGGGGTGCAGCTCAAAGGACCCAGGGACAGCCACATCCAGGCACAGCACTCCAGGTCTTGGAGGCAGTCAAGGCGGCCGTCCTCCTGCTAACACAACCTACACCCCACTGTGTGACAGCACAGCAGCAGCAGAGCAAAACGCACACCACACCAGCTGGATGCGGGGGAGACTTTTTGCCCAGAAAAACAGTGGAGGGGGACAGCAGAGCCAGAGCAGCCTGCAAACGGCGTGCTTCCCGTGTTCTCTCTCTGCAACATCGTCTAAGAGCCAAATATAAAAATACGTAATTTTGACCATCCTTTCTGATCCAGAAAATGCTATTTTTCATTTATCTCACCTTTCAGAAAGTACACATCACATCAACGTCAGAGTTTGTTTCCTTTTGGACACCCATTCCTTTCATTTTTTCATACTACACTCACTTTTACACAATGTAAATAGATGTGAGCAAAAAAGAGTCACTGCAATAAACCACTATTTTCTCTGGAACACCCTTGCACATGCTGGTTAAGCTAAGGACAACACGTGGTGCAACACTGAAGTGGTACTAGCTGTAACTCCATAACGCAGCATCTCACATCTGGAAGTTGACCCCAAATTTTCTTCCATTAACAACAGCCATCACACAAGCTCTGCTCTAGATAGAACACCGCAAATACACCACACACAAGGACTTAAGACACACCAAGCTGCTTGGCTCTTTTATGTGAGAATAGAAAATAACATTTAAGTTCTGGTACAGAAAGTCAACTGAGATCAGTATCTCTCACCAGCACAGTCTGTTCCAGGCAGAGAAGACACAAGTGTTAGGACAAAGCCTAAAGCAGAACCAGTCTAAGCAGAAGTAGGGAAGAAACCTTAGAGGGAAAAGCCAAAGAGAAACGGGAACCAAAAATTTACAGCTTTTGATTTCCTTGCTCATCGAGGACGAGAGTTTCTCGAGTTGCTGGAGTTTTAATCAATGTTAAAAAAAAAAAAAAAAAACACAAAAAAAACCCCAAAAACAGAACACCAAACCACAAAAGAGAAAACCGCAAACCTGGCTGTCGACTCCAGGGACCTGCCTTCCTTGAACTTCTTTCTCAACCGTCGAACTGAACAAAGGTCTTTCCTCACTCCCCACAGTTTATTTAACATTTCATATATTTTCTGTTTAGAAAGCCCTTTGCTTTGCATAGCAAGTCAGCTACGTTATTTACACTGTGCTCATCACTAAGATCCACGTGTCCTGTACAGTACATTAACAAAAGTCAGCAAAATCTGACAACGCCACAGAGATTTTTATTTTTCCATAATTAGTCCTCTCAATTATAATATTCATTCCATGGTGAGTAAGGCCAGGGTCAGCATTATCTCCTAATATATTATTAAATCAGTTTTGCTGAGAAGGAATCATATTATTAATTTTTTACCCTGGAGGAGTAACTGTTCAACCACAGGTATACCCCAGCAGTTCAACAGTGAGAGGATGTTTAGTTTCTCAAAGCACCATCTGCATTAATAACATTCATTCTCAGTAGCATATTTACAATATAAAACTGATATTGCTCTCTTCATATATTTTACAAAAACCTTCATGAACAATAAGGATTATTTCTGCAGATCCCCTATCATCTGTCTGCAGCAAAATGATTCAGATTCCCTGAAGTCAGCTACTATCAACTCCACCACTCCCTGCCTGGGCTAGCAGACCTCCCACTGCCCCGAATTCCACATTTCTGCCATATTTAGCCGAACCAAAGCAAGGCAGCTTCTTGCTCTTTTTCCTCCCCATCTCCAGGATTTACATACCATGGCTTACATACTAGCAGCAGGGGTACAACGAAGGTTCCATCAAAGCAATTCCTTTATCAAGAAAGAGGTGTACAAAGATTTCCTGATCTTTTGCTAGGGAGTCTTGCCTTTTATCAAAACTACAATCAAACGCCTTATTTAAAAGGCTTCTTATGCCAAGTCAAAAAACCGTGCACACTGGAGCCCATTCTCAGAGTCCTTGGGCACTTCCACGTCAACCCCAGAAGCAATATTCTCACTGTTGGCAAAGCGGATGCGTGAAAATACGGAGGAACTCCGCTGCTCCACATTACATTTCTTCCACTAAGAAATGGTGGGACTACAGAAAAGCAGCAGCTATGATCAACATGATGGCCTGGGCTTCACCTTACTCCCTGAGTTCTCTCATCTCCCTCTTCTTCAGGATTTTCTAGGATCGTTCCCTACCTGTAGGAAAAACATCTTAGCCCCTGGCCCCACCATTACAAAAGAAGAAAACCCAACCCCCAGTTTGTACACTTCAGAGAAACCCCAGCTCTATTACTGTCCCTCTTTGCCTGCTGCTGGCTCTTCCACACATCCCACATACTCTTTTCTTCTTGGAGCCTGCTAGCCTTCCCAGGCACAGAACCAAGATCACTAAGATGCTTCAGCAGTCAATGGCAGTCATCACAAAGACATTCAGCTGGACCATGAATACTGTATTGACAGCAATGCTCCTTTAATCTCCAGAAGATGGTCCACCTCACTGGTCTCACAACCTCCTATGACTCCATGTGCACTTAGAAAGACAAAAAATTACACAAATTATTTTGTTGGTGGTTTTTTCTTTTGTAAAGGCTTCGTTTTTTGCTGCCCATCAGCACTGTCTCAGCATATTGCACAATGTTTTCTTTATTATAAAAAAATGTCTTCTGTATCAGGCAGAAAGAAAGTTAGTTTTCTCAGGAGACTAATGCGTACTATTGTCTGTAATCAGAGGTAAGTGGTTGCTTGTGTGGCCATCAGGAAGTTGGACCTAGTCAAATAAAAACAGTGTGTTATTAATGGCTTGTCCAGAAACAGAATCTCCCCCTCCTCCCCCAAAACACACACTTCTTTGTTCTTGGGCATTTCTTGTGTGCCTTTTGCCTGGTCTCCCAAACAAAAATTATACAAATCTGCTTGCTTTCCCTCCTCTCCCCCCACTCACATAACCCTGCCAGCTGGCAAACTTCAACCAAATTTGAGAGAAAGGTAGAAGTCTTAAAGGCTACCTACAGGCTTAAAACAGGAAAAATGAAAGTAATATAAAAATCAAGCTAGAGGAGCGATCCTATTGATGCCCAATGAAGGGAAAGGTAAAGACTGCTCAGCTCTTTCACACTGCTTGGCAGAAGCACGCAGGCTAATCAGTAGCAACACTGAACCCTGCAGCGTGCAGTGCCTCTTCTTCAGTCAGTTGGCCAAGCAGAAGACGAATATGTGAAGGAGACTGACGAGGTCTGGGAAAACACGTAATTTTTGTAGTAATATGAAAATAAAAAGAATATAGTAAGGAAAATGGAGGGTATGTAGCAGATGGTTTCATTAATTCAGCTTCTTAAAAAACACCTGGCTTCCTTACGTGTTAAATTTTCCAACTGTTTTTAAAAGCTGTTGAACATCTGCTCATATGTGCGTCAAAGAAAGGGTTTATTACACCCATCTTAAATTCTGCTGGGACCGAATCCTGGAGTTGTCCTTATCATCCATCCTCAGGTAGCCATACCACTTATTTAATACTTAAGTTTTTCTTACCGATGTGGATCTGTAAGAGCCCAGTCTGAAACGGCAAAAAATAATTTCTGCTACAAATCTTCCAAAGCCATGTAAAATTCCTGCAACGTCAAACAAGATTTAAATTGTCACAAGTAGTAAAACTGTAGTACTTACAGAAGTATTACAACACAACTCCACTTCAACAGGATACAATGCAGTAAACTGGTATGTAAACCACTGAGAAATTAACATAAAAAAGGAAACATCAAGGCCAGGGGGAATTCTAACATTCTGAAATGCATCAACAAAAGCAAAACCAAAGTTATCCAAGCAAATCTAGTTCCTTCCATCCGGCTTTCACATGTTAGAATACATTCTGTGGGACAGAAATACCTACTTTGAAAGAGAGCTCTTAGTTCAAGGTCTCTTGCTTTCTTAGAGTGAAAGCCAAGAAGAGAAATAACTTGTAATCAAGATACCTTATTATGTCTTGACTAATAAGTGAATCATGTCTTTTCAGCTTAGTTTATTTTTTTTAAAGGAGCAAATCTTGCAGTACATTGACAAGTTACACAAGGAAAATCCTTCCAATTACTTCAGATGGAAATTTTATCTCAATTTTTGGCACTGATTTAGCACTGGATCCCAACTATAGGAAATACACAGAATATCAGAAGTCTCTCTGTGTCCATAGGTGTGTGTGTATAAAGATATATCTCTCCTTGCTCTTCCAGAAGTAAATAAACTATGCCAGAGTTACCAAAAAGGAAACAACAGGCCCTCAGAAAAGCAGAAATGGCCTACTGGAACACCAAAACCGAGTAGCTTTCATTGCACATTTCAGGGCACACAAATGGTCACTTAGTCTTAAACCTGCTCAAGATTCAGGACTCCCCTACAATTTATCCATAACGTAATCAACATGACCAAAAAACATTCTGGTAGAACTTAAGAGGGAAAGCACCGATAGTTACCTGTAGTTGAAAAAATTCCCCCAATAATGCCACAGAGCCTCACTAAGAACTGCCAAAAAGGCATGTGTTCTTCTGTCACCGTCACCATAAGTGAACTGATATCATATTTCATGAATATTCCTGACACCCCATGGCTGCCAGCTGCATGGTTAATTACTCTTTCCTGAAAGAGGAGAGAGAAACAGAAGTTAGTCGCTTCTTATTAGTCACAAGGAAAACAATCTTAATAGATGTGATGACAAAGAGCTACTTAATCACAGTTAGCAATCAACAGACAACCAGGAAATATCAAGATAACTTTGGCCAGTACCTTCTAAAAGTCAAACGTTATTTAATAACAAATTACTTTCCTGGTTGCAGGTCTTCTGTGTATCAGTGTTCACTACCAGGCTCTGGTACTATCCTCTCGAGATTTGTTTACATGATCCTTTAAACAATTATGTTTATAATTAGGTTGCTTTTGGTACCTACGAGAGTTAAGTGCCACAGTCTTGGTCTAGCCTGTGAACGCAAGTGAGTGTGCTGGTATAACACAGTGGTCCAACTCTTCCTACTTTATGCATTACTATTAATCACTCACATCAGGATGAGACCTTCAGGAGACATTTAAGTTGTTGAACAGCCTTAGCTATGGCAGTTTTCCCAGACGGTGTTTGTAAATCTGCATATTGCATCTAAGATTCATTAGGCTTCATCCTCCTCCTGCCTTGGAGCGTATCTCTAGATTCACATGCCAGACAGGATTTAATTCCTGGCTCTTAAAACTATCAGGGAAGACCCTAAACTAGAGTATACCATAATTGAAATTCAGAAGCTTAAGTTAAATTAGACCAATGCCATTTTTTTTTTCCTCAGTGCATACTTACACATATGCCATAATCCATTACTTCGATGGAAAAAGAAATAAAAAGGAAAAAAGATCAAAAATTCAAAATTACTGGAGTCTGAAAACTGAATACCAATATCAAGTCTCTTTTCAAAGTTTTTGTCAGTCAGGTCACTTCAGACAACAGTCACACAGCAAGAAATACACCTCGATAAAAATAATAACTAATTCACCACGACTACTCTAAACAGATCAGATGCCTCAGTCCTAATCCAAGAACTTTTACCGTTTTTTCTCATTTGCCCAAATTCTTAAACCAAAAGACCCCAAAGAAGAAAGAGTGGATGCTATAAATCTCTACTTTTTAAAACAGGTTCCAGAAGAAAAAAATTCAACACAATCTTAAGTTTCTTTCAAAAGTTTACTATCATTTTGTTGTTAGTGAAAGGTGTTGACAAACGCACTGCCAGGTAAGTCTGGCTGAAAATATACAAGGGCAGCAGAAAAAAAAAATATAATTGACTGAAGACAAACTCAGCCATGTCTAGGCTAATAAGAGCGGAGAAGACAGACAAGCAAGGCTGAACAGAAAAGCAAGGCATCACAGCTCCATCTCACCCGTAGATTTGTCTGTGCTCAAGAACCATGCAGAATACAGTACAAAATAAAAAGCAGAATACCACTTTGAAATACAGACTAAGCAATTTCTCCAGTCAGCTAAAGTTGACATAAACCATATTGCTTTATTTGCTACCAAACCAAAGTAAACAGGATGACAAACTAATGTATCAGTTATGATACCAGGTCACAGAAACTTTGCAATGGTTAAATAAACAAAACTCAACCCAAAACAGTACAGAATGCTTTCTAGATTTCAAGAATGTGACAACATTCAGCACTAGAGGATGGATGATCAGGCGTACTAAGGAGCAGGAGAAGATTGAAGGTAGTTCAACAGAACCTTGCTGTTGGCGAGGGACAAAAAAAAAAGTATTTGTTTGGTTGGTTTTCCTCTTTTGTTTCCCTAAACCTGATTGGTCTTTTGAGGTCAAATGGTGAAAAAAGAATACAAAGTTAAACAGAATGCCCAAAACTCCACCCTCAAAAGATACATAATTATTTTCCCACATATCATTTTGGTCTGCTTGTAGCTTCAACTGCTGCACACGATTTAACTGTTGGTTGCTAAAACCTGTTGAAAATAACTAGCCCTGCATCAGATATCTCAGATATCAGTGAAGCCTTGCTAGAATTAAATCTTTTTAACATAGATAAACACAGTATATCAAACATCAACAGTAGTGGAGATGATTCTGCCTGCACCTTTTAAACTCTGCTTCCCCGTCTGTTCACCACTGGCAATTAGACCTCACTGTATTCAAGTTTTAGCCTTGGCTAGCTGACCACCTTCTTCCACGTCTACACACATGCCTACTCTTGCACTAAGTTGTTCAGTGTTAACTCTTCTTAATAGCCTTTCCCAGGTCATCTGCTAGGGGTATTTGGTTTCCAAAGACAAACACAAACAAGCTTTACAGGCCACAAGGCTACCTACTGAGACAGCCAGAGCAAGTATGTAATGCCACTTTACCTCCACTGTTCACCGAAGCAACCTGTGACTGCGGCAGCTTTCATAAAAAAATACATTCCCCCCAAGAAAATAAGAGCTAACTAAGACTGCACAGTTAATTGACCAAAACCATCTTTACAGCAGAAGGAGAGAAACATTTAATACAAGATGAAAAAAATGCAATAAGGAGTAAGATAAGCAGTTGACTGATGTCCAGAAGTTTAAGGAGTGCCTTAGTTGTTGCAGAGAAAACACGAAGCAGACTGCTAGACCAGCAGGAGATGGGAGTATACTGCATTATGAAATTCCTCTTCATTCCTCTCTTTACTCCAGCTTTCATGAGTTTTAGAGCCAAGCTTTCCCTTCAGCAGTCTGCATGTCCCAAATTGAACACCAAGACATCACCTCTATCCTACTTCCCCATGCTATGTATTTTTCAGAAGCACAGCATGGAATCATGAGAAAATAAAGATTTTTCTCCCTCTGAGAACACCACAAACAGTATTACAGTGAACTGCCATCCTAATCTCTGAATTTCCTTTCAACCCAAGGCTTCCTTCTTACCTCTTGCTTTATCTGTCGTTTTTAATTACAACTTTTTGCAAAGATTTTTTTCTTTGGCTTTTGAATAGAAGATCAAAACAGAGTTCAGTGTCTGGAAATGAGACATGTAACTGGTACACATAAGGCCTTTTTCTTATTTCCAGCAGTCTTTAAAATTACCCCCTTATAATTTGCCCATGTACTATGCTGCTATAACTACTTTCTTTATGGATTCAGAATTAAAAGCCCCTCCAAGCCCAGAAGTGGAAGGTTTCTAGTCTGAACAGTAATTGAAGTTGGTGGTCCAACAAAGATTAAACAAGACAGCTGAGAGACAAAGATGCTTCTGTGTGATTAGTTTTCCATACAAACTACATTTGTTTCCATTTCTAACACTCCACAGCCATGTTCATGACATACAAATGAGCTGTGGTTTTGGTTTGCTTCCCACACAGATAAAAAGTTAAAGGTGGATTAAATATTTGTAAAGCTACACACAAGATTACAGGCCTAAATCTTACAGGGTTTTACCATGACCACCACCACCACTATTAGCATCCAGTGAAGTGGAAACAACTGGATATCTATCATTAATTCTAACAGCAGACTCCAGATCTATGGATGCAAAACACTAATGCAAGAAGTTAGGAAGTGTCACTAACCACATACATTTTACCATCAGTATTATATTATTTACAGATAAATCTAATGCATCTTGTACAAAGAGTCTCTTCATGTTAGAGTTTTCAAAGCCACGGTACAACTAAATCTCCCTTTTCACATTTCAGCATTTGTTAAGAACAATCACTGTTAGATTTTTCTCTGCATGGTTTTCTCATACTTCTACTTACCCTTTCGGTCACTGAAAACTGATGAGTTTCTGCTGAAATTTTATACGTATGGAGTTTGGTTGGCACAACTGTGATAAAATATTGGAACATCTGGTTGTCTAGAAGAAAAAAAATCTCACTGTTGAATTAAGTACAGAGTCAAAGACCATCTGAGACATTCACAAATAAAATCAAACAAGTAATATTTAAAATAGTTAATCAGATAAGCCATTTACACGAGGGAAATTCTTCAAGGAGTCTCAGCACTGCCAAGACTACTTCAGCACCATCTACATGGACAAAGTTAGATTCCCTGGGTAAGGCCTGTGTCGCATTTGTACTCAGAGAAATTTACATTTTACCTACATAAGTTTCATTAAGGTCAGGCCATTCAAAGCTTCAAATGAAATGCATAATGTTTTCCAGGACGCTAGAACCGAAAAAGTTTCAAAAAGTCACATTTTGCGTGATACATAAATCTCGACTGTGGTTTGAATAGATTTTAGCCATTGAATTGTCTCTACAATGCTGGAAGCCCTTCTAAACCGGTTACAGTTTTTCTCTTGATTAGATAGACTTCTAGAGAATTACTCTAGAGCAATCAGCATGCTTATGTATTTATGATTGCTCTGTCTTCATGCAATTCCCTAAGAGAACACTGAGACTGATGCAATTTGTTTCAACTACCCTACGCCCTTCTGGCTGGAACAGCCAACAGACTGACTGACTTTGAGACAACAGCAGCTTTAGAAGGTTCTGGGGATCACTCTCATGGGCAATGCAAGTCAGAGGATGAGGTGTAGGTAGCTCTGTAAATTAGGTTATTTTACTATACTCCTTTATTTATACATGAGGAAACAAAGTGATACACCAACCCTCCTATAGTAGCCTCACAAAACCATGGAAGCGACAAACTAAATACAGGAATAGAAGCCAAGACTCCTGATGCAGGTTTGGGTTTTTTTTCTAAATCAAATCAGACTTAGTTTTCCCCATTACAACAACAATCAAATCTATGAATCTCCACTGTAGCAAACTGCTGCAAAATTCTTTGCAATATGTTCAGACATACTGTAACTTCAATATAACACAAATATGGAAGAAACTGCAAATCAAATTCAGCAAAACAGCAAAGTATATATAGCAATACTGATATTAAAAAGAAATTGTCCATTGAAGATGACATGTAGATAACTGATCAGTGCATTGCTTGCTACTAAATTTAGCAAGCAAAGCTGTTTGTAAATTACAACATTCATGAAACATGATAATATTTTAGATGTAATTATTGGAAAAATATAGAAACCAACATTTTTTTTTAGACACACAACACTTACGATCTGATGCTATTTTTTCTGTTCCATCCAAAGGATTAATAATTCCTGGAATAAGCTCTCCAAATGACAAATGATCTATTCTATGAGAGAAGTTATAGGCTGAAAGACAATACAGAGAAATGAAACAACATTTTTAATCTATGAGATTCTGTACTCTTCTCAGAGAAAAAGATGTAGACACTTCTCACACTGGAAAATGCACTAGTCAGAATATTTCAAAACATTGGTGTGCATTTCATTGCATTTGTGCTTGTGACTATATCAATACATCCACATATACGTTTCAAACAAAACTCAAATGCAAAATATTTAGCAAAGAAATTCAATGTCTCTAGAAAAGAACTTCTAAAATTAATTATAACTCTATCTGAACCAGCCTGGAGGTGAAGACAGTTAAAATTTCATGACAGGAAATTTCTAGTTCGCCAAATACTGAGGTTATTCTACAGTTCAGGTTCTTGTACGTAAGTGTATTAAAAAGCCTAAAATTTCATAAATGAAATGTACAGAGAAAGCATAAGGCAACTACCAAGTTACTACATTGCCTGATTTTGCAAAGGTGTTTAAGCTCTGTAATATTATACACTTGTGTTGACATAAATTAACGGGCAGACATTTGGAGGTTTGACCAACACCAAGTTCATTATTCACAGTAAGTCACCCTTTCCTCACATTATGGATGGCAGCAATACACATTTAGTATCTAGACTCAACCTAGAAATTAAGTTTCTAAGGACAAAGGTCAGAAATTTTTAACCTTATAAAAACAGATTTTGCAGGAAATCGGTAGTTTGGACTGAAATACAGGAATTTCATATGGTATCTCTGTTACAACAAAATACATTTGAGATTCCTGTTATCATTGCTTCCTGTTATCAGAAGCAACCTAAAGATAAAACTAATAGTGTTAAATGTATAAAAGTAAGTCACTACTGAGTCGTAACATTGCAAAGAATATTCTTCATTTTATTCTACAATGCTAGAACGTCTTTACAACAGCAACCAATGTTAACATAGGAAAATTAGGAGAGAGTAGTCTGAAAGAAATGATACTTGTTCGTAAGGAGATGATAAAAAGAACTTACACTCGTGGCTTACAAGGGCTGCCAAGTGTGCATGGCCTCGAGGGTGTGGTATTGCCCTAAAGAAAGCAAGATATGTTTTATGAAAATTTTGTTTAATGAATCCAGACAAAAGACACATTTTTCCTAAATGCAACTATGCAGAAAAATTACCTTTCCCCCTCTATTTCAATAAATACTTATTATTTCAATAATACAACATAAAAAAATATGTGCATACATATAACATATGTTTAAATATATATGAGATATATATGTTTTACAAAGTTTTATAAATATAAAAATTGTGTATATCTATATTAAATAAAAAAAGACATTTTTATTACTGCCAAGTACAGACAACCTGAATGATGAGGTACAGGAACATGAGACTCGTGAAAACCCTCTTACACAAAATTAGTGTCTTGCATTTTTAGAAATGTCAAACACACATCAAGTCACTAGGTTACTAGAAGAGCCACCAAGGCCTACCTCATGAAAAGCTACAGAACTGCTCAAGTGACTGATGAAAACTTTACTGTACTTGTTCTATAACTAAGCAAATTAACTATGCTCTGTATTTGCTCCCCGACTAAGCAAGTTAACTTCCGGTCTGGACACTTGTTTGTAAACCTGCAAAGCACGTACAATTCAGCGGCTGGTAACAACGCAAAGAGGGGGAAAAAACCCACAACTCTGTCTGGAAAGTAAAACAGTCTCTGAGCCACACTTAGCCAATAATGCTGGAAACTTTCCCTATTTAGCTTGAGTTAAATAATTACCAAATACATGTAAGTTTTGGACAAACAGAAGGTGGAGAAAGACAATGAGATCAGTCAATATAGGACTACAATAAATAACCAGGCAATTAGGTACAAAGGCGGGCAGTGAGAAAAGCCATAAAAAAAAAATATCTACAAGAAGAGACGGAGCAACTTAGCAGAAGTACAAATGTAATGATGAGCAAAAGGAAACAAAGGAAAGCAAAAGATTATTTAGGGTTGCAAAACTAAAGACAGGAAGAGAGAAGTGATAGCAGTACAGATGAAAGGCTGAAATCATCAGCTCTGAAAAAGGCTTAAGAGGTTGGACATCTAGGGGCAAATCAGAGAGGTGGTGCAAGACTAGACAGAAGTGACATTTGGAGAAATACCCACACAAAGACAGCAGCTGGAATTACACGTGGATAAATTAGAGAGTACAAATTGCATGCTAACATGTCTGGTCACAGGAAGACAAGTGAGGACAGCAGAGCTGGAGAGCACAGAGAAGAGTGAACACAAGTTTCTATGCAGTATATATAAGCTAATACCATTGCCGACGCACATCAGAAAGTCTCTCCTCAAATCAAGATGATACCATTTAGCTCGCTAACTATGGTTCTCTAACAATGTTATCTCAGGACTGAAGTGGCACATGTCTACACTTCATCCATGTTAGTGAACTGCATGCTAACAGAAAGGAGAAGTTTGGCCAGGCCCAAAGAACGGAGGCAAGTACAAGCAGTCCACTCCACATCATACCCTTACAGAGGATGTATTTTCAAGAGTTTTCATCCGGTAAGACACTGGAATTCATAACCACTACATTGCATGCAATAATGCACTGCATTGTTTTTAGTAACTTATGAAGAAATTTGTTTTTAACTGAGCAAGAAAAGATACCACACGGAAAATAATACCAAGTACGTGTATGGCAAGGTTAATGAAAACCAGTCATTAACTCAAAAGTGTAAAAGCATACACACACATATCCATGCATGCACTATATATAATGTAGAAGTCAATTCTTTTGTTGGGTTTTTTTTTTTATTTTCAGGAATTGAACAGAACATACTTGCCCACAGTTATGTGAAAGTTCCCTGCCACTTTATTGACATAGAGATGACCATGAATTCTGCACGCATCTGGAGACTGTAATGAATTATCTTCCCTGTTTAAACAAAAACAATATAAAGAGTACTTGAGACTATTCACTAACAGAAATAACAGCAGTACAGTTAGATTTCTTTTTCCTAGCATAAAGATACAGCATTATCATCTACCTCTCTATTGCATTCTTCTGGAATTACAGCAAGGATGGTGGAAGAGAAGGAATCTAATAAAGGTCAATCTGATGAAACCAATAAGCTTTCGTTTGTACTTGTATTCAGAGATCTGGCGTACAAAGCTAACTTATGTTTCCTGTTCACATGTTCATGTATTGTAAGACTATAAGTATATCTTGCTGCCCTGGGGATTTTTTTTCCAACTAGCTCTACCAAAAAATGTTTGTTGGGAAAGTTTTAACACTACAATGAATGTAACAAAAAATATTAGTCACATTAATGACACAGTAGCAAGAACAGCTTTCAACATTTATTTTTTATGAAACCTTCCTCTTCCCATACCTGTTGGGATGTTCGCAACTCCAAACATATTTCCACATCTCAAGCATAAATACTATCTCAAATACTGCACTAACATGTATCATAGAGGCACAGAAGGACTTAATGACTCTGAAGACATCAACCAAATGAGAAAAAATATTTTTTGAGCTGTCTTTAGCCTTGCCTTAGGAAGAAAGGATGTATTTAGTCCTCAAACAGGGAGATTACAACATGGAAAGTGCATATAATGTTTTTGGTGTTTGTTTTGTTTTATTTATAGCTTGCTTGCATAGGGTTTTGTTTGTTTGTTTGTTTGTTTTTAAGAGGAAAGGAATTTCAACTTTCATGTAGAAAGTGTTTCCCCTGGGGAAGAAGAAAAAAAAAAAATTCACATAGCATCTAGATTCAGGTAGACCAAGCCTTCTATACAGTAGCCTCTTAGCATTTTGTGGGTAGCTGGAATAAAGTGTCAACAGCAAGGTTTCTCCACGCAATTTTAACAGTGCTATCCTACACCAGGGCATTTACTAATAAAACACATTTTTATTCAGAGGTTGATGCTTTTTAAACCATAAAATATTAAGTCACAGCTAATAGCAGGACTTTTTTTAAAAAAGTTGCTAAACAGAAAGATATTCTTTCATTTAAAAAAAAGACTCTTGTTTAGTATTGCTTTGGAATTACTAGTTGACATTAGAAAGAAAGCATCAGAAAAAATGGACTAAAAAGGTGTACATATATATTTATGTGTGTCTGTATCGTGTATACATATATATCTATAAATACACACACAAAACCTGGAAACCTTCTCCAGGTTGGAAACCTCAGAGGTTTTCATAAAACAATAGCTCTCCAAAGCAAGTATCAAGTATACTATTTTAAAATGCAATAAAAAGCAGTAAGGCTTCTTTTCTTATAAAATTATCTTCTGGGAAAAAATAAAAATCACAACCACAATAAAATGTGAAGTCTAATTACATAGGGTGGGGAGAGGGGAATGACGACACATCCCCATTTTTCTTACCGTGGCGGCAGTGCTGTAGAAGCACTTTTAAAAGCACTTTTGAATATCACATCTTGAAGAGAGTGTTCTTCCTGCAGCCTACTCTGAATCAGCTGCAGCATCCTGAAGATTACAGACAAGTGTGAAAGCACGCAATAGGAAAAGAAAAAATAACCTCACAATTAATTATCAACTTCAGCTGCAGGTTACAAATCGAGATGTTAGCAAGGTTCATGTCAGCATTAAAGTGTTACAATAAACTTTGAGAATATTTAGAGCTTAAAGCTCTAGTGTTCACAGTAGCACGTTACCAAAATACCAAACTAGCCAGACTTCCACACAAGCTTCAGGTTCCATTACAAGATTATCAGTATAGCAATCACACACATAACCAAGTGATTCCAGTTTAAATGATAAACAGTGTGTCCATTATATGAAGTTATATGAAAGACTCGAACCCATTTCCTTTCACAAGAAAGTGCCAATTTGTTACCATGGCTCAGCTTTGCCATTCAGATATTAAGCTATGTTATGCATCTGAAGCCATAATTAAAGCTTGCGCTACCAAGTATTCATTTGGAAACATAATTAGAGTGAGTCCATACATCTTGGCTTGCAACTGCATGACTCAATTCCACAAATAAGTCCAAAGCAAATTTTTTACATAACAGAGATCTCAAATCATGATAAAAGCAAAGTAAATTAGTATCCTTTCACAAGTTTGCACTCTGAAATTACAAGCAAGAGCTGTTAGACCCAAGACGTAGTTCTGGTCTGTAACTCTAGTGTACCTCAAAGCCACTTCCCGTACAAATAATACAAACCATAGGCATGCATCTCAGTGCCTTACCTTTGCCATTCTTTTTGTTGCGGGCTGAGATCAAATACTACCTGAAACAAAAATAACACATCTAACAAAACATGTAGGATCCACTGAAGTCCCATCCACGAAACCCAGAAGAGAACTGGGGTGTGGGAAGGGGTGGGGAATTACAATCAACTTCACACTTGGTACCACATACTGGAGCTTATGAAAGGACTTTAAGTAATGCATTTAGTGTTCAAGTATGGAAATTTCTGTCCCTCTCCCCCAGAATTATTCACTTCTTTGCATTTAAAACTTCAGCATCTTTTCCTAAAGCTCTCGTAACTCGAGTCAGCAGTCTCTGCCCTCCTAGCCTCTAACTAACATGGGCTAGATGAAGCAGTGAGTGGCCATTTAATTCTAAGTGATATAACTGAACGCATGGTTTTGATGCGAACAGCAATGAAACAGGCAGAGGAGCAATCTTTGAAAAACAAGGGTCCAGATGCAGCTCATGCATTTCTAGGGTCATCCAACACTGAACACTGCTTTAAGACATGCTCCCAGATCTGCTATACTGCAACTAGCACAATAATATCACCAGTAACATCTATGCATGGAATCAAAATCTATGTATTGTTAACACCGATGTACTCCAGACACTAAATACAGTCGCAATTAAGTACCCAAAGAGACCAGGTACAGAAAGTTTCCTCTTTCTAGGCTTATAATCACTGGGGCAACTGCTAGCACGCAGCAGATACAGCAGCACAGAGATTACTGTCCAGACAAAAAGAGGAAACGTTCCAAGCAGAACAAACAAACAAAACCAAGCTCCTTCCTCTTCCCAAGCATGTCCTTCCATTCAGCCGTCTCCTCCTGCTCAAGCACATGAGTAGGAATTTGGACAAAACTCTTACAGTTTGGAATATGCTTCAGTTATTACAGAATGCAATAATTACAGCAGGAAGTTACATTCTCTAACAGGTTTTCTGTAAATGATAAATTACTTTCACACAGCATAATTACTTCAAAGCTTATTGTACTATGCTATCAAAACCACTTTAAGAGAGCACAGGCTTACACAGTTCCAGAGCCTTCAGTTCACAGTACAGAAATTAAAAGGATGCTAACCCAATTTATGATCTTTAATGCCATTCCACATTATAAGGATATCGTGGTGACTTTACGCCCCTTTTAAGAATCATAGTGTTCTTCTAGTTAAAAAGCAGTCACATCAATTCTCTTTTAATGAGTTCTGATAGTTTTCCTTCCATATCAAATACTGCGCTTATCCCTAGAATTTGCACATGTAAAAACAACTAGCTGTAGAAATCACTAGCTTGTTACGAAGCACTGATCTGGGAGTCTGCTGTATTCAAATCTGCTGTATCCGCAGAGTGTGAACAAACAGAAATCCCAATGCTAGCCTTTTTCCCTAGCAGATTCCTGGGGTAAGCACTACAGACCTCACTCATGGATCAGACAATACTCCAGCAGGTTCTGTGCAGCCCAGTTGTGGGGAAAAAAATACAAGCAAGCAAACCAGCCCAGTAGTGCTCCACATCAAGTAAAGAGCAATTTGCTTTTTAAATAAAAAGGTTAGAATCAACTTACTGGTTCATAGATTAGCCCATCTGCAGAGGCGACCATTGTTTCTGCTAAATCCAGAACATCAGCCCCCACATCTATATTAAAAAGGGAGAAAAATATTGAGAGTCATACAGATGATCAAAACAAAAAGATAACCAGATACAGATAACCAAACAAAAAAAAAAAAAGTTGAAATGAAGTTTCACAGTACAGCTGCGAACTTTCAGTATAAGTTACTGTTCCTTGTTAACAAAGTCCAAACCAAACGAAAAATAAATCTGGCAAGAAGCAGATTAACTGGGAGGTTAAGGGGAAACCACAGAATCCTACTTTTCAACCTATCACATCAGAGTATCATCAACTGATGCACAGTGACCAGAAACAAAATATTCAGATTTGCAATATTTCCTCACTGATGTAACACCTTCAGAGGTGTTGTATGAACCACATACACAAGCTTTCTAGGATCTGCTATGCATAAGTAGTTTTTCCTGTTTCATAAGCACTGAATCCAAACCAAGACTAGTCAAAACAGAGGATAACGTTTTGTTTATTTCTTAAATTTAAAAAAAAATGTAGAAAAAAAAAACAGATTTTTTTTTATGCTAACTGAAAAATAATTGAAAAATATTAAAATACATTTTAGGAGTAAGAAGGGATAACTTATGAATTAATACTTGTGAGACAAACACAAATTGTATGGTATTGATGTACCATAAAATTAATGCAAGGTTCAACCTAGCTAAAAAAATGAGTCTTGAAAATTTGCTTGCATCGCTGGTATTAGTAGTATTCTCTCTCTTTCTCAGGCCAGGACAACCAAAACCAGTCCATACAAATAATTGTTCACTATCTATATGATGTCAAAAGAATAGCAAGCACTGCCTTTAAGTGAGAAGGCATCCATATGTTCATCAGGAGGATGAAATTACCTGATGGTTCCAGTATTGTTAAACAGTAGACCAGATTTGCCAAGTTCATAAATAAATAAAAGTTGTGATAAATTCCTGCGGCTGAGTTGTGTCTCACAATGAGCTTTTAGAATATTCCAGCTAGAGAGAGAGAGAGGAACAACAGATCCCTTTTTTGCTGACAGAAAAAGCAAAGTTCTGTGAGACATGAATGAGATGGCATAAATACTTTTCTTCACATCTCCTACCAATTCTTCCAGTGAGTCATATGCCATTAACATGACTACCTATCATCAAGATCAGAAGAAATCTCACTGTTAGAATATTTTGAACAATATCCAACCATATTGCAAGCAAATGCATATTCCAAAGAGCGTTTAAAGTGTTTCAAAACTTTCACGGATGGAATACTTACATTGACACCTCATAGCAACTGTAATATCAATATTGATTCTTAACTTACTGGAAAGAAAAAAAAAAAGGCAAAAAGCTAGTAAGTAACATTGACTATAAGTATCAAGAGACATATTACTAAAATTCTCAGATTACTTCCAGAAACACAGTCAAATAACAAAATTTACACTAGTAAATATTCACTTAAGCTGTTTAAAATTTGCGTGAACCAAAATGAACTTCTAATTACTAAAGCAGTGATGATCACTTATAACTTAAGAGCTAAAAGCATCAGATTTTCCTGTTGAATTTTACTATGAAACTCCTAACAGATTTTTTTTTTTAAAGTATTACTGGCCCAAGAGTTTGTCACACTTCTTAAAAATATATAGTTTTCAATATTTTACACATATTTTTCTCCACTCAACTAAAACAGTGCAATAAATTCCACAGAACGCAGTGGATCAGGAAAATGTAGGAGTGAGAAGTCTAAAACTGAGCAAATATTTGAGCACCTTCCTCCTGTTTTGTCCTTAAGACAGGCCATAGTATTTCCAATCCTAATCAGAATTCCTCAGGACAGTGACATTCAGGATCAGGCTGAGAAGTTGCTAAAACCAATTCCCCAAAAATGCTGCCATATCATAAAAATCGTTGGTTTTGCTTGCACTGCTTCTAGAAAAAGTTGTTTAGGTTTTTTGGGGTGGTGGTTTTTTTTGTTTGTTTGTTTGTTTCAAAATGCTCCCATATTATAATAGCAAAATGCCTTTTATGTCCCAATCTTTATCCTGAATGTTTCCACAATGAGGGGCGGTAAAATATAGTTCTTTCCATGAGGGAAAAAAAAAAACAAAACAAAACCAAACCAACACCCCAAAAAATTCCATCACACCAAACGTCTGATTATGTGGCATTCCCCAATATTCTGGGTTTTCATGTTCATTTCACAAAAGTCATTTAAACTATAATGAATAAACCCCCTCACTATAGTTACATGGTCCTATCACCTCCAGGGAGCTGCTTCTGGGAACTTAGTTGACCACAAACAAATCACGTAAGCAAGTGGTTCAACATTGGCTTAAATTGGGATCAGACGTGGGCAGCAGACAGGAGAAAAACAGTTAAAGTGACACCAATCTCCATTGGTTTAAATTGTCACAGAAGCACAGGCTAAGTGCTTGGCTCACAATCAAACCCAAAAATCTGCAGCAGGACTTCTCCCAAGTCCCATCATAGTCTCTTAAGCACTAGACCATCCTTCCCATGTGC